CAACACAGCAAGACCCCATCTGACTTCTTTTTTTTAAAGGGGCTGTGTAACTCTGTGTCTCAGTTTTCTCATCTGTGATATTGAGTACTTCCCTCATATGGTTTATTAAGATTAAATGAGCTAATATTTATGAAATATTTGGAAAAGTGCTTGGCTCATAGGAAGTTTTATTAAATAAAACCTATACAATGGCCTAGCCAACAATTACTGAACACTTCCTGTATGCTTGGCGTTAAATAAAACACAGCCAGGAGTCGCATGACAAGTGTCCCTGGGTGGGGAGTACTTAGTGATATAAGTTTAGTGGTTCCCAACTGTGACAGATTATATTCACAGTGTAGTCATATCGGTATACATCTCAGCTCAATGTTCTTTTTACAATGGGACATTGGTACATTTTCAGCAAGAGATGGGGCATCTTTCTTCTCTTTGAACCTGGGTAGACCTTTGTAACTGCCTTGACCCATAGAATAAGGTGGAGGTGACAGTGTGTAACTTCTAAGGTTAGATCATAAAAGGCATTGCATCTTCCACTATGGCGTCTTAGATCATTTGCTCAAGGGAAGCTAAGCATCATGCCAGGAGGACATCAAGCATTCCCATGGAGAGATCCACATGGAAAGGAACCAAGGTCCCTAACCTGTATTCAGCACCAATTTTCCAACCATCTAAGTTAGTCACCTTTAACGTGGATCTACCTGCCTAGTCAAGCCTTCAGATGAGTATGGCCCCAGCTGACATATGATTGCAACTGCATAAGCAGCTCCAATTAAGAGCTGGCCAGCACAGCTCTGCCCAAATTCCTGACCCACAGAAACCATGTAAGATAACATATGATTGTCATTTTTCCAAGCTAAACTCTGGGTTAAACAGATTGGTTAAGAAGCAATAGTTAAGTGAAATATCAATTCTTTTGTTATATAATACCCTCTCAATAAAACAAATATTTGATAGTGTTTCTTCACCAACCTGAAATTGAATTGACACATCTTACCTACCTCTATACACCACTTTTTAAAAAATTGGAGTCTAACTATAATATAAAGCATAAATAAAAGGAAATCAGTTTTTTGCTAAACATACTTAAGTATATAAATGCTTATTGAAATGTTAGCAGAAGACACGATGAAGTGATCAGACACCATCCTGTGACTGCAGTGAATCAAGACAAAAACAAGACCACTCCGTAATCATGAGTGAACACAGACAAAAACACGAACATTGTCTGAGCCACAAAAATGACCAAACACCCCTATAGCTGCACCAATATGAATAATGGCTGCCTCTTTACCACTTACGACTCTAGCCTCGATTCATTCTTCCCACCTTCTACATGAGGACTATGAAGATACTCAGACATAGACTTGCCTCATTCCAAGAGCAGTCTCCAACACAGTTCACCCTGCTTCTTTGAACTCTCCCCAAAACCACCTAACACAAGCTGCAATCCTGTAAGTCCTCTCTAATATCTTCTTCCTGAGATGTTCCGTGGTTCTTTGCGGTGAGCATTCTTTCTCATTGCCATGAGCGATGCGCCTTTCCTGTTCCTTGTACTGATGTATTCCTAGTGGTCTTTGGCTAGAGAGCTTTGACAGAAAAGAAAACAAATTTCAGCATTCATCATTCATAATGAGGGGAAATGGTAACAAAACTTTTGTGTCAGTTTATGTTGTGCATGTATATTTGTTTGCAGGCATATGGAGTATGGAACATGTAAAAATATTTCTATGTCAATCACAATAAAAATAGTATAACCACTGGCCAGGTGCACAACAGCTGAAAGCCAGGATGCCCACAGACTCCACTCCAGCCCTTGCCTGTTTGTGTGCCCTGTGGCAAGTTATTTCACTTCTATTGCCCTCAGTTTCCTCATTCATTCATTTATACATTTAAGAAATATTTGTTGAGCACTTTCCATGTATCAGGCACTGAAGACTCATCAGTGAACAAAACAGACACAGCTCCCTGCCCTTATGGAGTTGATATTCTTGAAAGGGAAGGTAGGCAATTAAAACAAAGAAATAAAATATATTGTAAGATGTCAGTAAGTGCCGTGGAGGAAGATCGTGGAGAAGGAGGGGATAATAGTAGGGATGATTTACAATTTACCAAGGCGTGGTCAGGGAAGGTCCCACTGAAAAGTGACATTTGAGCAAAGACTTGAAGAAGGAGGCAAAAGAGCAGGTTCTGCAGGAATCTGAAGGGATATCGATCCACACAGCGGGAACAGCAGGTGCAAAGGCCCTGAAGAAGGAGTCTGCCTGCAGGTTCTGGGTAAAAGGCAGACTCCTCATCCCACTCCAAGTGTTGGTGGTCTGCCCCCGTGAGCCCCTCCAACCTCACTGGCTTCCCCTCACATCTGCTTTCTCTCAGATTTAGAAGTCACTGTGCTCCTTCCTGTCTCTCTGCCTAGCACCATAGGTGCTGCCTAGAATTCAAGGGCGCACACATCCTAGAGTTTTACGCTGTTGCTTGTAGTACTCTGGCAAATAGTTTTGTTAATCTAACTACTTGAGTTTAGGTGTTCTGTGCTCCCGGGACTCCCCATGCCTGTCCCTTAGGGTTCATCTCAAAGCTTGCCCCTAAATGTTTGAGATCGATCTGCTTAATGCCAGTCTTCTCCACTGGGCTATCAACTGCTTGATGTCAGGGCCAGTGGGTATTTGATGGACTGTTGGGTCTGTAGCACCCAGCACAATGCCCGGAACTTGAATGAATGAACCCAGAATAGAGGAAGAGGATGCTTAGATTGAGATTAGATCCATCACTCAACTCTCTCCTGGAGACACCCAACCAATTTAAGACTCAGTTTCAATTCTGCCTTCTTGAGGAAGCCTTACTTGTCACCCTTCAGACCAGGCCAAGCCCTCTGTTACTGTTCTTTAAGCTCCTGTTCTTCTCCCTGGCAGCATGTATCACAGCAAGAATCAGTTATGTGGACTCACTCACTTAGGTGTCACCCCTGGAACATAATAAGTAACACATATTGAGCTCTCATGTTCTGAGCACTTTAAATGACGGGCCATTCTCCCCACGATCACGCCGCAGCCATTTTTATTCCTATTCTGCAGAGCAGGGAACTAAGATACAGACAGGTCAAGAAGGTGGGCCAGGAATGGTGACTCACGCTATAATCCCAGCACTTTGGGAGGCCAGGGTGAATTGCCTGAGCTCAGGAGTTCGAGACCAGCCTGGGCAACATGGTGAAACCTGGTATCTACCAAAAATAACAAAAAAATTAGCTGGGTATGGTGCCATGTGCCTGTAGTCCCAGCTACTTGAGAGGCTGAGCTGGGAGGATGATCACTTAAGCCTGGAGGGCAGAAGTTGCAGTGAGCCAAGATTGTGCCACTGCACTCCAGCCTGGGTAACAGAGCAATACTCCATCTCAAAAAAAAAAAAAAAAAGGAAGGTGGCTCAGCCGGTAGTAGATGGCCAAGTCAGAATCTGAACCCATGTCAGCTTCCCCCAGAGGACCCACTCCTGACCACTGGGCCATACAGTCTCACCGCACCATGCATTGCGGCAATCTATCTTGTTCTCCAACACATCCTCAGCACCAGTTACCAGCCTGGCAGAGAGAATACACAGTCAATCCTCAGCACTTGTGGATTCTGTATTCGTGCATTGCTAATATTTATTTTTAAGTCAAAATCAATACTTGGCCATGCAGAGACGTGCACAGAGTACAGAAAAATGGTGTTTCCTGATCTGACATGCACATTCCCAGCTGAAGCTGAACAGGCAACATTCTGCCTTCTCATTTCAGCTCTCATACTACAAACGAATATCCTTTCTCTGTCCATTTAAAACTAGGTTTATTGCATTTTTGTGCTTTTTAAATTTTTTTGGTGATTTTTCTGTTTAAAATGGCCCCTGAGCATAGTACTGAAGTGCTGCCTTGTGCTCCCAGGAGCAGGAAGGCTGTGATGTGCCTTACATGGAAACTATGTGTTAGGTAAATATGCCGGCAGGCACTATAGCGATACTGGCCACAAGTTTAATATTAATGAATCAACAATATATATTAATGTATCTCTTTTTCTCTCTCTCTTTTCTTTTTTTTTTTTTTTTCTTTTTGAGAGAGAGTCTCACTCTGTGGCCCAGGCTGGAGCAATCTTGGCTCACTGCAACTTCCACCTCCTGGGTTCAAGTGATTCTCCTGCCTCAGCTCCCGAGTGGCTGGGATTACAGGTGCACATCACCACGCCCAGCTAAGTTTTTATATTTTGGTAGAGATGGGGTTTCACCATGTAGGCTTCAGGATGGTCTCGAACTCCTGAGCTTAGGCAATCTGCCAGCCTCAGCCTCCCAAAGTGTTAGAATTATAGGCATGAGCCACATGCCCACCCTGAATAACGTATCTTTAAACAGAAACACACATATAACAAGGTTATATACTGACCAATTGATGAATAAGTTGGGACCAGAGGTTCACAGGAACCTAAACCTGTATTTATTTTCCCTAAGGGCAATGGGTCAGTTCTGATTAATTCAACCTTTGCAGCGATTTTACAGAACTTAATCACCAAGATGCTGGCTGTGGTGCCTCACACCTGTAATCCCAGCACTCTGGAAGGCCAAGGCAGGGGGATCACCTGAGGTCAGGAGTTCAAGACCAGCCTGGCCAACATGGTGAAATCCCATCTCTCCAAAACTATACAAAAAAAATTACCCAGGCCTGGTGGTGGCTGCCTGTAGTCCCACCTACTCGGGAGTCTGAGGCACAAGAATTGCTTGAACCCGGGAGGCAGAGGTTGCTGTGAGCCGAGGTCGCGCTACTGCACTCCAGCCTGGGCGATATAGCAAGACCCTGTCTCAAAAAAAATAAATAAATAAATAAATAAAAGAACTTAATGACAGAACAAAAAGAATCGCCAGTATATGATAAATAGCAGCTGGGTGAACAAATGACTGGCAGGGAGTGGATGGGAGGACAAGCCCAGAGTGAGTGAGAAAAACGAGCCGTGGCATCATCTCCCTGTCCTCTCCCCGCTCAGGGATCAGAGTCACCAAGGTGGACTGGCAGCGGTTGAGGAATGGCGCTGCCCACCACACCCAGGAGTACCCCTGCCCTGAGCTGGTGGTTCGCAGGGGCCAGTCATTCAGCCTCACACTGGAGCTGAGCAGAGACCTGGACTGCGAGGAGACCCTGATCTTCACGGTGGAGACAGGTAACTGGGCTCGCCAGCGCCCCCTGCTGGTCTGCAGCAGGAGGGCCCTGTCTTATGACCCAAAAACCTGAGACCTTGCAGTCAGCAGCTCAGGCTCTAGGGGAAGCAAGTCCGTGTAGGTAGACAGGGCTTTGAGCTCTGGAGACTTCTGGTAGCACCTTTCTGGGGGTGGTTGGGAGGTGCTGCCAGCAGACAGTGGGATGGATGGGATGACCTCTCCGGAATCCTCTGTGTACCAGACACCCAAGGCTCTGGAGGTATGAAAAATCATCAAGCACCTTGAAGCCCAAGATTTTCTTTCCTTTCCTGGCCTGCCATAGGCCGACTTGGTTTCAAAGGATGCTGTCACTTTCTCCTTGGCCTGGAAGTGGCTGGTGTGTCGGGACAGCCGAGGCGGGCCCCCACTCTGCTACTGGTCTTCTTGCTCTTGGTCAGGTCCTTCTCCCAAAGCCTCCCAGTTCAGGGGGTAAAGGTCAGGCTTCCAGGCCCGCAGCTTTTTTCACTTCTCTAAAGCTGGGTTTCCCAGGGGCAGGGTCTCCTGAATCCCTCTTCTCTCCTCCAGGGCCCCGGGCTTCTGAGGCCCTCCACACCAAAGCTGTGTTCCAGACATCGGAGTTGGTTGGGGGTGAGGGCTGGACAGCAGCAAAGGAGGCTCAGATGGAGAACACTCTAACCGTCAGGCTCACCAGCCCTCCCAGTGCTGTCATTGGCCGCTACGTGCTGAGCATCAGGCTTTCCTCTCACCGCAAACACAGCAACCGGAGGCTGGGGGAGTTTGTTCTCCTTTTCAACCCGTGGTGCGCAGGTAGGACTGGCTAAGTCCAAGGTAGAGATTTTTCCAAAAGACACCCTTAGAGGCGGGCCTGCCCTTGGAGGGGACTGGGAAGCAGGTTAAAGGACAGGAAGCTGAATGCCAAGAGCTGGGTGAGAACTTGGCGGAGGCAGAGGTAGGCAATGGTCAGAGAAACTTATAAGCAGGTGCTTCAAAGCCTGTGCTGGGGGAGCCAGTGGGCAGGAGAGGCCCAGGGGTGGGTAAAAGCCAGGACTTGGGAATCACACTGCCTTGGTTTAGTCCCAGCTCTGTTAAGCTGCTCCCTCTACCAATTTCCTCATCTGTAAGATGAGAAAAATCACAGTGCCTACCTCTTAAGACTATGGTGAAAATCCATAGAGCTAACGCTTGTAACATAGGAGCTACATCGTAAGACCTTAGTAAGGGGTGGCCAGGATCAGTATTCTTATTAATATTTAAGAAATACGGCGTTACTATTAACATCAAGGAGGACCACCCAAAAGTGTCAGGACCCCTAAAATTCCTCAGTCTTGGACTGTGTTGGGATTGGTCCCTGCTTGGAGAAAGACTTGCCGGGAGGGATGGGTTTCGGCAGGGAGGCAGCACAGGAGCTCGCCAGTCCCCTCTTGCCCTCTTCTGCCCCAGTCAGTCTCCAAGCACTGTCCTGCTGCTGAGCCCTGATGCAGCCCCTTCCCCAGGCGGGCAAGGCCAGAGCCCCAGCCCACACTGGGCCTGATGACTGCTTTTCAGAGGACGATGTGTTTCTGGCTTCAGAGGAGGAGAGACAGGAGTACGTGCTCAATGACAGTGGCATCATCTTCCGAGGCGTGGAGAAGCACATCCGAGCCCAGGGCTGGAACTACGGGCAGGTCTCCAGGGGCACGGGCCAGACAGGGACGCAGGCTGGGGCATGGGGAGGTCAGTGGGAGTGGAGTCCCTCTGTCTACGCACTCTTCTCAGGAGGGACAAGGGGGGCTCACTCAGAGAAAGTCCTCTCATTCATTCATTCCTGTACTATTCAATGGGCCAGGGGCTGCACTGGGTCCTGGGGAAGGGGAGGTGCTTTGGACACAGTTTGGACACAGAACAGGTCAGCATTGTTGTGGAAAAATAAGTAACTCATTGGGTTTTCAAACTCGAACATACATCAGAATCCCAGGAGGGATGGAGTGCTGGACCCCACCCCCAGGGCTGCCGACTGACTAGGTCTCGGGCAAGGTCTGAGAATGTGCATTTCTAACCAGCTCTCAGGTGATGCTGCTGCTGGCCTGGGACCACGCTTTGAGAGCCACTGGCTTAGATAAGTAGTTCCAATGTCAGTTGCAATAGAGGAAGGAAAAAGTCAGAATGATAGGAATGGAAGCAAAGGGAGCCCCGAAGAGGGTGAAAGGAACCTCTACCTCGGCCGCTGTGGAGGCTTGCATGATATTGAGGTTGGGTCTCCACAGTGAGGCCGGACCTGCCCAGGCAGGAGGATGAGCAGCAGAGCCACATGGAGGTGGGAAACAGGGGGTCCTGAGACTGCTGGAGGAGTTCTGTCTGCCCCAGCTCCAGATGCCCAGCCAGATGGAAGATTGGACTTGACTGTCAGGCTGAGGAGTCACACACTGCCCTGCAGGCCAGGGGTTTAAAGCATTTGGGATTCAAACCTAAACGTGTATGCAAAAATCTCCCAGCTTTTAAATGTTGTTAAGTAATTCAGATGTGTCTGAAAACATCATGTAGACCAAAGGAGCGTATCAGTGAGGCAGACGTGGCTCAAGAGCCACCGATTTTAGTCCAGACTTTACTGTGGGTAGTCAGGAGCCAGGGGAGGTTGTTGAGCAGGGGAAATATAAGGTTGAGCTTCCCATTCCCCAGGTGACTCTTTGAGGAAGGGTTTCTGAGACTAGGGGGTGCTCTGTGATGTCCCTGGTGGTTGGAAGGGGAAGCAAACTGCCCTGCACAGATTGGGTGACTGACTGGGTGAGGGCTGTGGGTGGGCCTGGAATGTGGGTGACTCTAAGCACAGCATCTCTGGGGAGCAGTTTGAGGAGGACATCCTGAAAATCTGCCTCTCCATCCTGGATCGAAGCCCCGGTCACCAAGACAACCCAGCCACCGACGTGTCCTGCCGCCATGATCCCATCTATGTCACCAGGGTCATCAGCGCCATGGTGAGAAGCCCCTCCACCCCTGCATGTACTTCCTCAAGGATCCCCCAGCCAATCCTGGGGCCACACCCTGTGATTCTTCCCATCACTCCTGGTTTTAATTCACTGTTGTTGCATAACAAACCACCCCAAATCTCAGTGGTGTAAAACAACCCTTTATTATGCTTACTGTTTTCTAGATTAGGAATTTGGGCAAGGCACCATGAGAATGGTTTGTCTCTGCTCCAGGATTCTTCTCTTGGGGGTGTCTGAATGGCTGCATATGTCTGGGATGGTTTGACAGGACCTCTGTCTGGGGCTTTGGTTCTGGTGGTTGGCAGTTCCTAGGTTCTGGTCCACGTCATGTCTCCTGGAACTGGAATGTCCAAAATGGCTTCCCCACCCTCATGTCAGGCCCTGGACTGGGGTGGCTGGAGCAGCTGGGATCCACCGGTCATCACTCTTTCCACTCTTTCCATGTGGCTAGCTTGGGCTTCCTCACAATATGGCAGTCTCATGCATAGCGATGGCTCCCGTATCCCCACCTCCCTGCCCCAAGCAATTCTTCCAAGAAAGAGGAAGTGGAAGCTCCCAGTCTTATAAAGCCTAGGCCTGAAAACTGGCACAGCATCACTTCACATTATCAGATTATCATAGTCAGTGGTCAAAGCAGTCTGAGCCCAGCCCAGACTCAAGAGGAGGGGGCATAAACCAACCTCTCCATGGGAAGCATGACCATTTTTAAGCTATCACATGCCTCGGGCCATGGTGCTTCCTCCCAAAAGGTGTCTGGAGGACCCACCACCTCACTCTACCATATGCAGGTGTTAAGGTCAGTGGGTGGGTATTTGAGATTCCAAAATGGCACAAAGCTATATTTCTCCTATTTGATACTCTCAATTCCTCAAGACCTCAGAGAGCAATTGGAGCACAGAGAATTAACATGAGTGACAATCCCAAACAGCAGAGCATCACAGCCTTGAGGACAGTGAAAGTCCTGAACTCCAGGCTCCCGAGTCCAAGTCCTAGACTCACAGATCACCACTTGGACTAACTTGCTGTGTGATTTGGGCAGGTCCCTGAACGCTTCTGAAGCTCAGTTTTCTCATCTGAACAAAAAGGAGAATAATGGAACCTACATTGTAAACTTCAACAGGTTAATAGAGTGTGCACAAAATTCTTGGCATAGTGTCTGGCACACTATAAGTATTTAATAAATGTTAGCTGTCCCTATAATTATTACACCAGCAGTCCCCCAAAACAGATCATTTAATGTAAGAAATGCTGTAAAGTTGTAATGATTTTTATGGCACAGTATCCAAATGGAAGATAATTGAAAATGACAAGTGCTACCAAGAAGTAGGTATTTTAAGACAACAGATGCCCCCAGTTTTCAGACAGTTAAAAAACAAGAGTGACCCCGATTGAGCTGGTGGTCCAAAGTTGGAGAGGATTTCACCATGATGCAGTTCCTGAAGTGGGAAGCCCTGCCTGGTGGTGGACCCGTGCCCTCCTCTGCCCAGGTGAACAGCAACAATGACCAAGGTGTGGTGCAAGGACAGTGGCGGGGCAGGTACGGCGGTGGCACCAGCCCACTGCACTGGCGCGGCAGCGTGGCCATTCTGCAGAAGTGGTTCAAGGGCAGGCACAAGCCAGTCAAGTACGGCCAGTGCTGGGTCTTCGCTGGAGTCATGTGCACAGGTACCCTGGGAGAGAAGGGCCCCTGCCCCAGCCTCCTCTATCTAAATATATTTACATATATTTGCATATGCTGCAATCCATCTTCATTGACAGGGAGATCAAGTCTCGCTAATGAAGAGAGAAGCCAGAGAATGTATTTCCATGACATCTGATCTTTTATTTTAAAGGAGTCCTACCTCTGTCTCACTCATTGAATGCCTTGGGCGAGTCCTGTGGCCCCTTTGGCCTCCAGTCCCCTCAGGAAGATAAGTGGACTCTATTAAGTGGCATCCAAGGTCTTGCCAACCTCAGAACTTGTCTACTGACATGGAGTGGCAGCAGTGTCTCCCGAGGTTCTTGAGACAATGTGCAGGAGATAGTGGCATTTCTGAGAGTGGAGATGAGAGTCTCAGCCCCGCAACCTGCCAAAGTAGACAGACAGACAAAGATGGGGTAGCAGAGGGCTTTGGCCACAAATGAGCCAGGGCACCTGCTGTGTAAGCCAGGCCCCTCTCTCAGGGGCTGAGGTCCTGCCTGCTCTTAGCCTCCCAGCCTCTGCTCTGCAGTCCTCAGGTGCTTGGGGATAGCCACACGGGTCGTGTCCAACTTCAACTCAGCCCACGACACAGACCAGAACCTGAGTGTGGACAAATACGTGGACTTCTTCGGGCGGACCCTGGAGGACCTGACAGAAGACAGCATGTGGTGGGTCCCGCTCCCAGCCCAAGCCCCAGGCTCCCGAAGCCCAGCAGGTGGAGCAAGGCATCTGCTCTCCCGAGTCTAAGCTGACTCTGAAGGGAGTGAGAGGCACCCTGAGGATAGGGTGGTCCCTCTTTTGAGATGTAGGGTCTGAGGTCAGGAGATGTAGACTCAGAGGGCAGGAGGGGCCTCAAAATTTGATTGCCTTGAACACCTGATTCTACTCTCTCTGGGAATCTGTGGCTTCCTTGGGTGGGGAGGATCTCCGTCCGCACAGGTATCTCTGGATCAGGCACCTGCTTCTGTGTCAGCTGCGGTTCTCCATGCTGTGTGTCTCAGGTGGGAAACAGCCTCCTTCCTCGGTTAAAACAAAATTCATCAGATAAAGCTTTAAAAAATTCATTCTAGGCTGGGTGTGGTGGCTCATGCCTGTAATCCCAGCACTTTGGAAGTTCAAGGTGGGTGAATCACCTGAGGTCAGGAGTTCAAGACCAGCCTGGCCAACATGGCAAAACCCCATCTCTACTAAAAATACAAAAATTAGCCAGGTGTGGTGGCACATGCCTGTAACCCCAGCTATTTGGGAGGCTGAGGCAAGAGAATTGCTTGAACCCAGGAGGCGGAGGTTACAGTGAGCAGAAATCACACCATTGCACTCCATCCTGGTCAACGTAGTGAAACCCTGTTCCTACTAAAATTACAAAAATTAGCCAGGCATGGTGGTGGGCGCCTGTAATCCCAGCTACTCAGGAGGCTGAGGCAGGAGAATTGCTTGAACTTCAGAGGTGGAGATTGCTGTGAGCCAAGATCACGACACTGCACTCCAGCCTGGGCGACAGAGTGAGACTCCTTCTCAAAAAAAAAAAAAAAAAAAAAAAAAATCTAATTTAATTTTCTATGATATGAAATAAGCTAATGTGGCTTAACATTCAAAAGGTACAAAACGGGTTGCAGTGACGTCTCCCTCCTTCCCAGTTCCCCAGCCTCCCCAGCCTCCTCCTGGAGGCAACACTATCACTGTCTCCTACGTCTCCTGTCAGAGAGACGCTCTGCAGACAAGAACATTCGGGCCGGGCACGGTGGCTTACGCCTATAATCCCAGCACTTTGGGAAACCGAGGTGGGTAGATCACAAGGTCAAGAGATCGAGACCATCCTGGTCAACATGGTGAAACGCCGTCTCTACTAAAAATACAAAAATTAGCCGAGCGTAGTGGCACTTGCCTGTGGCCCCAGCTACTTGGAAGGCCAAGGCTGGCAGGTCACTTGAGGTCAGGAGTTCAAGACCAGCCTGGCCAACATGATGAAACCCCGTATTTACTAAAAATACAAAAGAAAAAAAAAAAATTAGCCAGGTGTGGTGGCACACGCCTATAATCCCAGCAAATGGAGAGGCTGAGACACAAGAATCTCCTGAACCTGGGTGGTGGAGTTTGCAGTGAGTCAAGACTGCACCTTTGCACTCCAGCGTAAGTGACAGAGCAAGACTGTCTCAAAAAAATAAATAAATAAAAATAAAGGTTAGGAGAGATGGTGAAGAGAACATAACACAAAGACATAGAGAGCCTTGTAGCCTTGTTCCCCAGAGAAACATGCCAGCAGCCCTTCCTGAGCTCGCCTCCAGCTCGGACCATCTCTCTGCTCCCCTTTGCCTCCCCTTTTTTTTGGTTCTCTTCATTCCCTCACCCTGGAAGCACAAAATACTCACATTCTTCTCTTTTCTTCATGCAGAAAGCACAGAGACTTCATTTTGATGTTGGGGACTCTGTCACCACCCAGGTTATCAGGGTCCCACCGTTAATCCCCAAATGCTAATCAAGAGACTTTCCCCAACAACCTGCAAAAGAGGGGTTCTGAGACCGGCTGTAAAGATGCCAAGTCAGGCAAACCGGGAGTCAGGTTTCTTTCTGCTGCTTTCTTTCTGCAAGACCGTGAGCATGTGATGTCACATTTCCTACTCATATTCTCAGCTTTAACGCAGGGAATTAAAAATAAGGCTGGAATTCCTTACCAGGGCCTACAGAGCTCTGCACAATCGGAACCATACCTACCCCCTCTGCTGGCCACATCCCAGAGACACTTGTATACTTTCTGCTCCTTGGACACACCAGGCTTTTTCTTATCTCAGGACCTTTGCACATGCTGTTCCTTCTGCCTGGAATACTGTTCCGTTCGCTTTTCCTATAGCTTATTCTTTCTCATTTAAGGCTGACCTTCAATGTCATTTACCTAGAGTACGTCTACAGGGGCTGTTCTCTAGCTCCAGCCCCTCTTTTTCTTCACGGCATTTATTGCTGCTTGCATTTGTTTATCTACTGACTTAGCTTTCCCCGTCTCCTTTTTTAGAATGTAAGCAGCATGAGAGCAAGGATCTTCTGTCTTAGCTGCAGTACCTTGAATAACAAGTTCTTGATAACACACACATCTATATACACTCATACACATATATACAAACATCTGTGAATGCTGTGTGCTCATTAGTGTTGTTGAATGAATGATTCACGAGATGCAGCAGCAGTTCTCCTGAAGATTAGGGGACCCAGGGCCTGCCGTTCAGTAGGATCTTCCCTTCCTATGCCCTCACTCAAGGCCACTTCACCCATCCTCTCTCTGCGGCAGGAATTTCCATGTCTGGAATGAGAGCTGGTTTGCCCGGCAGGACCTCGGCCCCTCTTACAATGGCTGGCAGGTTCTGGACGCCACCCCTCAGGAGGAGAGTAAAGGTACGCTCAACTGGGTGGGGTACGTTCCAGACCCCTGCTTTTCCTTACCCATGCTGCTCGCACCCACCCCTCCTGCCCAGGTGTGTTCCGGTGCGGCCCAGCCTCAGTCACCGCCATCCGTGAGGGCGATATACACCTGGCCCACGATGGCCCCTTCGTGTTCGCCGAGGTCAACGCCGACTACATCACGTGGCTGTGGCACGAGGATGAGAGCCGGGAGCGTGTGTACTCGGACACGAAGAAGATCGGGAGATGCATCAGCACCAAGGCGGTAGGCAGCGACTCCCGTGTGGACATCACTGGCCTCTACAAGTATCCGGAAGGTAAGGGTCACACGGCAACCTTTATTATCTTCCCCAGGTTGGCCCAGCTACTGCAGAGAGCCCACTGTGGGTGGCCTGGGGTCAGGCCCCGCCCCACGTGTATGACGCTGACAGCAGCTTCCATTGGCATCGTCTCTGTGCTCTGAGCCAAGTGCCTTTATTTAGGCTGTATTAATAGCTTCCTCTGTTTGCTAAGTACCTCTTCTTCCTTGGAAGATTTCCCATATGAAATAATAACAGCTACACTTCCTTGAATACTTGCCATGTACCAGGCATTGCATTAGGTATATTCACATATAGTAATAATCACTGCTGGTAATAATAATGATGATCGTAGCAGGTATTATTTATGGAACACCTAGAACAAATGCTTGGCACAGGCCCGGCTCAGACTAGTAATAATAGCACCTCCTGTTTAGCATCTGCCAGGACCTGTGCCATGATACCAGCTACGGCCACTGGTTCACTGAAGAGCCTGTACCTGGTAGGCCGCAACAACAAAACAGTTGTATTTTTTCTTATAGCTGCTTCCAACTATATACTTTGAAGTCTCCCTTTCCCACTGGGTAACAGGTTCCTTAGCAATGTTGTGATCTGATTAACAGATTTTCAACCATTTCTGCTTGCTAAAACCATGTTACCAAGTAATTATGACTTCAAACTCAACCTTGAATTAGACCCTGTCTCCTCCCATCCCCTGAGCACAGGCTAGAGCAGTGACCCTGGAAGGTTGCTGAAGAGGGGACACAATCTGCTCTGAACACCTCCTCACTTCCCTTTTCTGTTCTCTAGCATCATGGTTTGCAGCTCTGGTTGCACTTTTTTTTGTTTTGTTTTTTGAGATGGAGTCTTGCTCTTGTTGCCCAGGCTGGAGTGCAATGATACACTCTCGGCTCACTGCAACCTCCACCTCCTGGGTTCAAATAACTCTCCAGCCTGCCTCATCCTCCTGAGTAGCTAGGATTACAGATGCCTGCCACCACACCCGGCTAATTTTTGTTTTAGTAGAAACAGGGCTTCACCATGTTGGCCGGGCTGGCCTTGAACTCCTGACCTCAGGTGATCTGCCCACCTTGGTCTCCCAAAGTGCTGGGATTACAGGTATGAGCTACTGCACCCAGCCCCTGGGGCACATTTGAATTACCCAAGGAGGTGTTTCAGTTATCTGTCTTAAACAACAATGACTTATTTGGTCAATTCTGTGGGTCAGTAATTTAGGCTGTGCTCAGCTGGGTTGGTTCACCTCCTCCAGGTGGTGTTGGCTGGGATCTCACATACGTTTGTCACATGGGAGTGCTGAGATGGCTGTCTCCCTGCTTGGTCTCTCATATCTCAATAAGCCAGGCCTTGTTTTTCTGAATAGCAGCAACATTCCCAGGAGGTGAAAGATGAAGCTGTGAGGTTTCTAGAGGCTTGGCTCAGACTTTGCACCACGTCATTTCTGCCATATTCTAATGGTCAAAGCAGTTCATGAGCCCAATCGAGATTCAAGGGGTAGGAGGTTCCAAGGCATTATGGCCATTTTTAATCTACCACAGCAGGCCAGATTGCACCCCTGACTAATTGAATCACAGTCTCTATGGGATGTGATTCTGGCATCAGGACTTTTTTAAGCTCCCAGGTGGTCTCTAGTGTGGAACCAATGCTGAGAGCACTGTTGGGGGATAAGGGGGAGGAAGAAGAGGAGAGAAGAGAGCAGATGCCTTTGTCTTAACTGGGTGAGGATTCAGTGTCAGCTCAGTGGGCGGGTGCTGCTGCCCTAGTTTCCTATCTATGCTTGCTGAGGACAGATGGTGACTCCATCACAACCTGCTGCCATTCAGACTGATTCCTTTGCTGTTCCTCCAGACACTGCTGATTTCTTGTGCTATTTGGCCCCTTTCAACACAGCTTCTTTCTGAAGCATGGTGATTGTTGTCCCCAAGTTCTGCAGAGGTTTTACAAGGCTGTGGTCCCCCAAACCTCACCTCCACTGTCTCCCACTCCGAGGCTGGGAACTGCAACCTGACACTTGTGGGTAGGAGGAGTAGTCTTCACTGGCTGTCTCCCTCCAGTTCTCTTCTCCCTGCTCAGGTAGTACATGGCTTAGTAAGTAAGATGAGATAAGGAGACCTCCCACAGGGAGGGGAATACCAACTTCCCTTTCTGTAGGCACACCCAATCTTGACCAGCCAGCCCTTTCTTGCTGAAGACACCCCCAACTTAACACTGATTCTTTTAAACACCTGCATATACCCCCAACTCATACCTTAGCTCCTATCTCTGGGAACATGGCACTTTCTTGATTGTCAAAGACATCTTCCACTTTAGTCATCTTCTTACTGTCTTAGGGGTGGGCTATGGATGAGGGGAGTATGTAGTAAGACCTCTTCTGACCTGGTACCTCTCTGACAAGACCTGCAGATTGATGGCTGGGTCCCTTCTGCTGGGAGCTTCTGGAACTTACAATGTGGTCTAGCCTGGGCATCATGGCAAAACCCCATCTCTACAAAAAAGGCAAAAGAATTAGCCAGGTGTGGTGGCATGTGCCTGTAGTCCCAGCTACTCAGGAGGCTCTGGTGGGAGGATTGCTTGATCCTGGAAAGCAGAGGTTGCAGTGAGACAAGATTGTGCCACTGCAATCCACTCCAGCCAGGGCAACACAGTGAGACACTGTCTCAAAAAAAAAAAAAAAAAAAAAAAAAAAAAAAAAGAACATGAAGTCTGTGGGTCTTTTGTCCCAAGGTTTAACCATGGCCACAGGAGAAATTAACATCCTATTACATGGTGACAGTGATGGCAATCACTCCTATTGAGCGCCTGATGTGGGCTGGCCATTTTCACATGTTATGTAGTTATTTTATTTAACAAATGTTTACGAAGCTCTTATGATGAGCTTTTAAGTGAGACACTGGTACAATGTTTATTTTACAGAGGAGAAGGCAGAGGCACAGACAGGCAAGCTAACCCAGCCAGGGAACATAGCTAGTAAGGGAGAACTCTCCTGCAGAACCCAGAACCCATGCTTCCCACTCTGCACTGCACCACCACCATTTAATTATAATATTGTCTATTGTTTAACACAGACCACCTACTGTGGGCTATGTGATTTCACATCCAGGTTAACAAAAAAGCAATAACAGTATCTAGAGCTTGCCAAGCACAGTGGTGAGCAATGTCCGTGCATTATTTCATTTAATATTTATTTTAAAATCATTTTATAAGCCAGCATGGTGGTTCACACCTGTAATCCCAGCACTTTGGGAGGCAGAGATGGGGAGATCACCTGAGGTCGGAAGTTCAAGATTAGCCTGGCCAACATGGCAAAACCTCATCTCTACTAAAAATGCGAAAGTTAGCTAGGCGTGGTGGTGGGTGCCTGTAGTCCCAGCTGCTCAGGAGGCTGACGCAAGAGAAACACTTGATCTCAGGAGGTGGAGGTTGCAGTGAGTGGAGATTGCACCACTACACTCCAGCCTGGGCTACAGAGAGAGAATCTGCCTCAAATAATAAATAAAATAAACTCATTTTATGGATAATCAAAATGAGGCACAGGGAGGTTAAGTAACTTCCCTAAGCTTTCAAAGCCCAGAAGAGCTGGCATTCTAATGAGGCAGTCTAATCTCAGGGCCTCTGCCCTTCCCACTATGCTAGACTGCCCCTCTTCGCTGAGTGGCTTCAGTGTGCCATACACCATGCTAGGATTTTTCATGTGTTCTCTAAGTACAGAGCTTCCTGAATGCCAGGCATGATTCAGAGGCAAGGGAACAAAGAGAAGTCCCCAGAGAACTCATCACATGGTGAGCTAACAGCACAGAACAATTCGGAATGACTGGCACTGTACTGGGGTGTCCAGAGGCTAAAGGAGCAGAGAGGAGGAGTCTCTAAATCGGCCAGGGCAGAAGGTATCAGGAAAAGCAGTCTATGAGAGGGAACGCTGAAGGGAGTAAGATTTAGCCAGGAGTTGAAGGGTTGGGAAGGCATTCCAGGAAGACAGGGTCCAGCCTGATTCCAGACTCATCCTGCGCAATACTGCTTATGCAAGCTAAGACATTCTTGACTTGCATGAGCAGTATTCTACAGACGAAATGACAGGGGCTTGCGCCTCTCTGAGTGATGAACCCTTACTCTGTCTGTGGAACCAGGACACATGCTACAGCACAAAGATTCGGGTACAACGTGCTTTGCCCATACTCCAAAGACAGCCTTGGGGACTAAGCAAAGAGAGGACGAGCATTCCAAGCAAAGGAAATACAAAGCCAAGATCTTAGTTGGTCAGGCTGGTACCGGCAGTCAGCAGGGAAGCAAGGCTGGTGCACCTGTCCAGCCATCAGCCTCTGGGCCTGTATTAGTTTCCTGGGCCTAACATAATAAGTTACCACAAACTTGGTGGCTTAAAACATCAGAAATGTATTCTTTCACACAGAGTCTGGAGGCCAGAAGTCCAAAATCAAGATGTTGGCTGAGCCATGCTCTATCCAAAGGCTCTAGCTAACTTGACTCTTCTAACTTCTGGTGGCTCAGGCATTCCTTGGCTTGTAGTCACATCACTCCAGTCTCTACCTCCATCTTCACATGGCCTTCTTTCCTCCTATGTGTTTCAAATTCCCACCTCCTTTCTCTTACAAGAACCAAAGTCACTGGATTTAGAGCCTACCCTAAAACCAGGATGATCTTGTCCCAAGATCTTGAATTACATCTTTAAAGATCTTATTCACAGGAACCAGGGGTTAGGACTTGGGTATATTGTTAAGGGGGACGGTGTTCAATCCACTACAGCCTGTGTGGGAAGACCAAGCACCTGCTGCCCAGGGCCTGGCTGGCCAAGCAGGCAGGAAACAGTGAATGCAGTGGCTGTGGGGCCACAGCCACTGACAGGTTGATGCAGAGGCCCTGTGACCAGCCCAGGAGACTCTTCTTCCACATTCTCTGTCTGTCTCCCACCATTCTGCTCTCTGCCTTTCTACTGTGCCTTTCTCTCTCCCTCCCTTCTTGCATTTAGTGGGTACCCCCAAGTACCAGGTGGCAGGGTGGACAGGAAGCACAGGAAAGCAGACAATCCCAGTGCAATGTGATAAGGTCAGGCTGCCGAGGTGCAGAATGATCAAGGAACAGCAGCAGGGAGGGCAGTGCTTGTTTGGGTAGCAGCAAGAGGGAAAGGTCATCAGGAGCTCTTTTATACCTAAAGGACTTGGCACAAGATGCTTTCTTTGCCTGGGAAGGACCTGTTGGCTTCACCCCAAACTCTGGCCTGACCAGGGGTCTTAGCACTCTATTTATTTCCTTCTAAGCACATATCACAACTTGATATTTGCTTGAATCTTTATTGTCTCCCTACTAGACTGGCCAAAAGGTGAAAGCAACCCAAATGTCCATCATTGAATGAATGAATAAACAAAATGGTACATACATACAATGGGATATTATTTGGCCTTAAAAATCAAGAAAAAAACTAATAAATGCTGGAGCACAGACGATACTTGAGGACATTATGCTAAGAGAAATAAGCCAGACATAAAAGAACAAATATTTTGTGATGCCGCTTATATCTATGAAGTACCTTGAGTAGTCAAACTCACAGAGACAGAAAGTAGAATGGTGGTTGTCAGGGGCTAAGATTTGGGGAAAATGGGCATTATCATTTAATAGGTACAGAGTTTCAGTTTTGCAAGATGAAAAGAGTTCTGGATAAATGGTACTGATGGTTACACAACAATATGAACGTACTTAATGACACTGAAGTGTACACTTTAAAATGATTCAGATGGTAAATTTTATGTTATGTGTATTTTATCACAATTTTTAAAATAAAAAAAAGAGAAAAGAATGGAGGTACAGAGAGAGGGAGGGAGGGAAAGAAGAAATGGAAATAGAGAAATTTCCAAATTGGAAAGAAATAAAACTATCTCTATTTGCACACAGCGTAATCTTATATATATAAGAATCCCAAGGAATCCATTAAAAACTTATTTGAGATGATAAACAAGTTCAGGAAGTTTGCAGAACACAAGATCAATATATAAAAATTAATCATATTTCTAGACACTAGCAATGAAGAATCCAAAAGTGAAATTAAGAAAAGAAATCCATTTACAGTAGCACTAAAAAGAATAAAATACTTAGGAATAAATTTAACAAAAGAAGTGCAAGACTCATGCACTATAACTACAAAACATTGTTGAAAGAAATTAAAGATCTGAATAAATGAAAAGACATCCCGTTTTCATGGATTGAAAGGGTTTATATTGTTAAAATTGCAACACTTTCAGAATTGATCTTCACACTCAACAAAATTTCTATCAAAATTACAGCTGAAAACTGACAGAAGAGCAGAAGATCAAACACCGCATGTTCTCACTCATAGGCGGGTGTTGAACAATGAGAACACATGGACACAGGGAGGGGAACACTACACACTGGGGTCAGTTGGGGGGAAATAGGGGAGGGACGGTGGGGGGTGGGAAGCTGGGGAGAGATAGCAAGGGGAGAAATGCCAGATGTAGGTGATGGGGAGGAAGGCAGCAAATCACACTGCCACGTGTGTTCCTATGCAACAATTTTGCATGTTCTTCACATGTACCCCAAAACCTAAAATGCAATAAAATAAATAAATGGGAAAAATAAAATAAAAAATAAAAAATAAAAAAATTACAGCTGAGTTTTTTCCCCAAAATTAGCAAGTTGATCATAAAATTCACTTGGAAATGCAAGGGTATCCCAAATAGCCAAAACAGTCTTGAAAAAGAATTTGGAGGGCTCATACTTCCCAAATTCAAAACTTACTACAGCCAAGCATGGTGGATCATGTCTGTAATCCCAGCACTTTAGGAGGCCAAGTCAGGAGGATAATTTGAGGCCAGGAATTCAAGACTAGCTGGGCAACATGGAAGACAAAACACTCTGACAGTTTCTCAATGGAGAAAGAATAAGAATAGTCTTTTCAACAAATGGTATTGAGACCACTGTATATCCACATACAAAAGAATGAAATTGTTATACCCTACAGTTTTGTAATCATATTTGTACTCAGTTTTAATTGCATGCAAATTAAGGGGAAGAGTATGCAGAAATTTTTAGGAAAAGCGTAGTAACTTCAAGGTGATTGCCTTGAAAAGGGGTGGTAACTTTTGTGTGTTGCCACGGCGCTGGTGGGCTTGTCTCATAGAGAAGTGCTGTTGCCTCCTCCCTGTTTCCATCGTCATTAATCTAGTCCTGAGTTTGAGCCCCAACTCCAGAGTCAAGTCCTGCCTCCTGCCTCAAGGCCATTATTGCCACGTAGGGAGTGGTAAGGGAGCATAAGTGGAATTTGGAGCATTATTGCCTGGTTCAAGTCCCAGCTCCCTCACTTACCACATAGACTGTGTGATTGAGGAGTTACTTTACTTCTCTGTGTCTTGTCTTCCTTATCTGTTAAATGTGGGTGATAATAACACCTCTGCAGTACCTCCTAGCGGAAAAAAAAGCACCAAGTGCTATAGTGCCTGACACAGCAAATCTGCAAAACTGCTAGCTATCATTATTATATGAGGCTTTTGACCCAGCTGTCAGAGAAGCTGGAAATTTGCGTTTTTATGTGAAATTTCCTGACCTGAAGTTGTTGGCAACTGATTTAAAATTTTATTTACACAATCACACACAAAGCATGTGGCTGTGGTGTGCATATGGCTCTTGAGCTGCCAGTTTGACTTCCACACGCCATGGTAAATTAAAGGAGCAAGGGGGTGCCTGCCACTGATGCTGCGTGATGCCCTGCAGGGTCCCGGAAAGAGAGGCAGGTGTATAGCAAGGCAGTGAAGAGGCTGTTCAGCCTGGAAGCCTCTGGAAGGAGAACCCAGATCCGCAGGGCTGGGCGGCGCTGTCTCTGGCATGACGACCTCCTGGAGCCTGCCACCAAGCCCAGCATCACTGGCAAGTTCAAGGTGCTAGAGCCTCCCATGCTAGGCCACGACCTGAAACTGGCCCTGTGCTTGGCCAACCTCACCTCCCGGTCCCAGTGGGTGAGAGTCAACCTGAGCGGTGCCACCATCCTCTACACCCGCAAGCCGGTGGCAGAGATCCTGCACGAATCCCACACCATAAGGCTGGGGCCGAAAGAAGGTAAGTGCACCCTGGCTTGGTGGTATGAGGCCAAGCCACCTCCTTTTTCAGGAGGGTTGTGGAGGTCAGGGGGATTTCCCAGGATCTGCATTCATCCCCAGGAAGGAAGGGGACATTCCTGAGCATTGTACTCAGTGCCTTGCCTCTTGTCCCCACTTTATAGATACGAAAAGTGAAACTTGGTGGGGCAAAACAATAGGAATACAAGTCCACATGCATCTGGTGGCAATCTGATGAAGATGTGATTTATAGTTCTCTTTTTAATTAGAATGAATATTTACCCACCAAATAAATATATGCTGGGGGTATTTCAGCATATATGGAATATGCCATGCATTACTTTTCTAAAATTTAAAAAAAAAAAAAATCTGGAGCCCATTTGGCTACAGGCATTCTCTGGAAGACAGCTGGACCAGTAAGAGGTGGTTTTCTTTGTTTTGGTTTGTTTTCATTTTTTGAGATGGAGTCATGCTCTGTCACCCAGGCTGGAATGAAGTGGCGTGATGTTAGCTCACTGCAACCTCCACCTCCCAGGTTCAAGGGATTCTCTTGCCTCAGCCTCCTGAGTAACTGGGACTATAGGCGTGCACCACCGGACCTAGCAATGTTTGTATTTTTAGTACAGAAGGGGTTTCGCCATGTTGCCCAGGCTGGTCTCAAGTGATCCATCCGCCTTGGTCTCCCAAAGTGCTGGAATGGCAGGCGGGAGCCATGGCGCCCAGCAGTTTTTGTATTTTCTAACTGACCTTACTCCAATTGCTTCTTAAAAAATATATCAAGGGTGTTTTCGTGATTCTTGAACACACAGCACTTCATGGATTATTTATTTATTTATTATTTATTTATTTATTTTATTGAGATGGAGTCTCACTCTGTCACCCAGGCTGGAGTGCAGTGGCGTGATCTTTGCTCACTGCAACCTCCACCTCCCAGATTCAAGTGATTCTCCTGCCTCAGCCTCCCAAGTAGCTAGGACTACAGGTGTATGCCACCACGCCCAGCTAATTTTTGTATTCTCAGTAGAGACGGAGTTTCGTCATGTTGGCCAGGCTGGTCTCCAGCTCCTGACCTGAGGTGATCCACCTGCCTCAGCTTCCCAAAGTGCTGGAATTATAGGCGTGAGCCAACACACCTGGCCACATAGCACTTCATGGATGATTTATTAAATGCATCTTCTTTGATTTATTCCTGAACTCCTAGTTTGTCTGTCATTTTGCCTGTATCTCCCCCTCCCTCTGTCACTCCTTCCCTCTGTCTCTGTCTCTGTCCCTTTGGCTATTTTGTCAGTCTCTCTCTCTATTTCTCCTCTCTCTCTGCCTCTCGGTCTCTCTATCTCTGTATCTCTATCTCTCCTTTGCCTCACTCTCCTTTCACATACTTTCTGACCTCTAAGGATTTAATTAAACAAAGAAGTTGTTGCTCTGGGCCAGTTTCTAGTAAGTGAAGCTTGTGAATTTTCACAGGGTGTGAAAACGTATGAAGGAGGTGTCACACTTTTTTAGCTTTTTTTGACATTTATTTTTCACAAAGTCTAAATCACAAAATAACACTTCATCATAAGATTTTAATTAACATACACTTCCCTCTGGCTTTTAGCAATTTGTTTCATATTAAAAGTAATACATATTCCTAAAGATTTGGAACGCAAAAGAGAAAAGTCACCTATGATCCTACCACCTACCTACAAACTGTTAATGTATTTTACTTCCAAATTTTTAATGCCCGTGTGCTTTTTGAAAAACAGTTCTGGTTAAATGTTGCAAATAGTCATTACTGCCCTGCTCTTTCCATATTACATTGTATTTTAAATATTTTTATAAGCTTCTCATAAACATCATTTTAATAGATGTTTAAATAAATAGAATTTAATAGATATTTAAATAAATATATGGTGACTTATCTTTTCTCTTCTTTTGGGTAGTTATCAGCTTATTGCTATTAAAAATGACACTAAACTGTTTAGTTTATCTTCAGAGTGTCAGGCAAGCAAGTAAACATTTTGATTCAGAAAAAAAACTTCACTTTTTTTCTGCTGGATTTTGGACTCCTGTTAGAATATATCACAAAAGTGAAATTATTTGGCCAAATGATAGGCTATTAAAACATAATTTATTAATATATGTATAACTTTTTAAATGAATAGGTTTTTAAGTAGTTTTAGGTTTGCAGAAAACTCTGAGTGGAAAGTACAGAGAGTTCCCATGATCCACCCACCACCTCTCCTGTTCTTCTGTTACTAACATCTTGCTTTAGTGTGGTACATTTGTTACCATTAATAGCCAATATTGACACAGTATTATTAACTAAAATGCATAGTTTACATCAGAGTTCACACTGCCTTGTGCATTCTATGGCTTCTGACAAATGTATAATGACATGTATCTAACATCACACTATCATACAGAATACTTTCACCCCCCCAATATCTCCGTGCTCCACCTCTTCATTCCTCCTTCCCTTGCCTGAACCCCAAGTAACCACTGATCGATCTTTTTACTGTCTCTATACTTTTGCCTGTTCCATAATGTCATCTAGTTGACATCATACAGTATAATTAAGCTTCTTCAGATTGGCTTCTTTCACTTAGCAGTATGTATTTAAGGATCCCTCATGTTTATGTGTCTTGATAGGTCATTTCTTCTTACTGCAAAATAGTACACCCTTATATAGATGTACGCAGTTTATCCATTCACCTACTGAAGGACATCTGGGTTGATTCCAAGTTTTGGCAATTACAAATAAAGCTGCTATAAACATCTTTATGCAGGTTTTTGTGTGGAATTGAGTTTTTAATTCTTCAGATAAATATCAAGGAGCACACTTGCTGGATCTTATGGTAAGAGTATGTTTAGTTTGGTAAGAAACTGACAGACTGTCTTCCAAAGTGGCTGTACCCTTTTGCATTCCCACCAGCAATATATGAGAATTCCTGTTGTTCCCTCTCCCATCCAGCAGGTGGTGGTGTGTGTTTTGGATTATTAACATTGTAATAGGCGTGTAATAGTATATCCGAATTTACTATTCACTAATGACATAGGAGGTTGAGCATCTTTTTGTATAGTTATTTTACACCTGTATCTCTTCTTTGGTGAGGTGTCCAGTTCTTTTGCCCATGTTTTAATGGGGTTCTTCATTTTCCTGTTGCTGGTTTCTAAAAGGTCTTTGTGTATTTTGGATAACAGTCTTTTATCGGATACCTTTTGCAAGTATTTTCTCCCAGTCTGTGTCCTCTCTTCTCAGTCTCTTCACAGTGTTTTTTGCAGAGCAGAGTTTTTAGTTTTAATAAAGTCTAACATCAGTTTTTTTCTTTCATGGATCATGCCTTTGGTGTTATATTTAAAAAAAATTGTTACCGGCCAGGTGTGGTAGCTCATGCCTGTAATCCCAACACTTTGGTAAGCCAAGGAGGGTGGATCACTTGAGATCAGGAGTTCAAGGCCAGCCTGGCCAATATGGTGAAGCCCCATCTCTACTAAAAATACAAAAAGTAGCTGGGCATGGTAGTGGGTGCCTGTAATCCCAGCTACTTAGGAGGCTGAGGCATGAGAATCACTTGCACCTGGGAGACGGAGGTTGCAGTGAGCTGAGATCACACCACTGCCTCCAGCCTGAGCAATAGGGCAAGACTCAGTCTCAAAAAAGCACAAAAATACATACATATATATTACCAATCTCGGGTCATCTAGATTTTCTTCTATGTTATCTTTAAGTTATGTGGTTTTTGCATTTTACATTTAGGTCAATGATTCAGTTTAGTAAATTTTGTAAGGAATATAAGGCCTGTGTCTAGATTTTTTCCCTTGTGGATATCCGGTTGCTTCAGCACCATTTGTTGACTATCTTTTCTTCATTGTATTTCCTTGCTACTTTGTCAAAGATCAACTGACTGTATTTGTAAGCCTATTTCTAGGCTCTCTTCTATTCCATTGATCTATAGGCATACCTCAGAGATATTGCAGGTTTGGATCCAGATCATAACAATGGAAACATTGCAATAAAGCAAGTCACAAATGTTTTGGTCTCCCAGTGCATATAAAAGTTATGTTTACACTATACTGTAGTCTATGAATGTGCAATAGCATTATTTCTTTAAAAAATAAGTATCGACTTTAATTTCAAAATACTTGTTGCTAAAAAAAATTGCTAACAATCGGGGCCAGGCACAGGTGGTACATACCTGTAATCCCAGAACTTTGGGAGGCTGAGGCAGAAGGATCATTTGAGCTCGAGAGCTCAAGACCAGCCTGGACAACATGGTGGAACCCTATATTTACAAAAAAAGAAAATTAACCAGGCATGGTGGTATGCACCTGCTGTCTCAGCTACTCAGAAGTGAGGTGGAAGGATCATTTGAGCTCAGGAGTTCAAGGCTGCAGTGAACTGAAATCCTGCCACTACACTCCAGCCTGGGCAACAAAGGGAGAACCTCTCTCTCAAATAAAAAAATAAAAATGCTAACAATCTGAACTTTCACTGAGTCCTGATCTTTTTGCTGGTGGAAGGTCTTGCCTCAATGTTGATGGCCGCTGACTGATCAGGGTAGTGGTTGCTGAAGGTTGGGGTGGTTGTGGCAATTTCTTAAAATATGACAACAATGAAGTTTGCCACGTTGAGTGACTCTTCCTTTCATGAAGGATTTCTCTGTAGTATGCGATGGTGTTTGATAGCATTTTACTCATAGTAGAACTTCTTTCAAACTTGGAGTCAGTCGTCTCAAACTCTGCCACTGATTTGTCAAGTAAGTTTATGTAATATTCAAAATCTTTTGTTGCCATTTCAGCAATGTTTACAGCATCTTCACAGAGAGTAGATTCCATCTTTAAAAAACACTTTCTTTGTTTATACGTAAGGAGCAACTCTTCATCTGTTCAAGTTTTCCCATCAGATGCAGCAATTCAGTCACATCTTTAGGCTCCACTCTAATCCTCTTGCTGTTACCACCACATCTACGGTGACTTCCTCCACTGAAATCTTGAATCCCTCTAAGTAATCCATGAGAG